TAGTAAAGTCTCGTCATTGCTCCCCACTAAAGCCATTGACATCACTTTTATCTACATCCGAGATTGTAGTGTTTGTGTTTGTTCCCGGTATAGAGACTTGCGTTGCATTGGCTTTGATAAATCCTCCACATCCTCTCGCCAATAGGAGTCATGCCTTGTTGTCCTCCTTTTCCACGTCCACTTCCTCTTCCGAGTCCCACGAGTGCGATCCCCCCACCAATCTGGATAGCCAATTAACCGAAAACAACTATCGGATTCATGTCCCATGCAATTACAATGGCCGCATACCATATTCTTATCCTTTCCTTCATTTTTATCGCGTGATTTGAACCTTTCTTGCATTGCAAAGCTCATCACCTCGTCGCGCTCTTCCTTTCCACGAGATATAATTATAACACATTCTTTTCGCACTAATGTCGAGTAGATTCCGTTCGGATTTGGTTATGGGTCTTGGGCCGATAGATTTGATCTTACATAGATCGTTTCATCAAGTCCCATGAGAAACCGATGAGCCTTCTCTTCTTTACACTTCTTTTCTAATGTCGCTCCAAGATTGTAGGTACATAAGCCGCACTTGCAAGTCGGGATCCGTTCAAAGTTTGCCAATTCTTCCTATAATTTCTTAAGCTTTCCAAAGTACGTAACAATTGTCAATCCTCTCTGTTTGCATTCAGCAAGCTCGACCCTTAGTTGTTGTATGCGTGGTTCATCCACCACGAAAAATCATTCTTTTATGTCTTCCCAAAGATCTTGTGCCACCTCCATATGTGACATGGTTGATCTTAATGCTCGGTTCAATGGTGTTCATTATCCGGGACACCGGTCTTCAAGGTCCGATGATCCCTCATCCGGATGCTTAACGAATCCGTCCAAAAGCCAAACTTTTTCCGTGCTCTCAATGTAGTCCTAAGAGCACGAGCCCATTCATCATAATTTTCTCCCTTCAACTAAACTTGTGTCAACGGACTTCCGGGTTTGTCATTGGAAGTTATGTCATAAAGAGAGATGGTTTTCCTCAAGGTCGTCGTTTCACCATCTTTGCTTTTGCCTTCTTTGTCGGCCATGGCGACAAGATGAAAACAATATTTTATTAAAACAGGTATGGCTTTGATACCATGAGAAGAAGATATTTGGGATGAAAAAGTATCCTTCGTTGATTCAGGAAACCAATACATATATACACAGGGAGAAGCATTATTTTCGTGTAGCTTCCAAATATAGCTACCTAAACATATCCCTTAGTTTACACGTTTACGACTAAGCATAATATTCTCCATGATATTAGGAGATATAATAGAATATTTGCCAACATAATTTGAGAGATATTCGCCTAATATTGCCTCTTCTCTATCTTGTGCGACCACCTTATATTTCTCATGAAATTCCTTCAATGTCATTTTCCCTACATATTTGTCAAAAAAAGAGTTAATACTTTTTAACCTTCGAGTAGTTGACATGCCTCCAAAAAATATCCTTCATATAAACAAGCACCCATGTCTCACGATCTTCATACAAAGATCGCATCCATTCATTCTCAAAAAGCTCAAACTCGTCAATCATTTTTCTCCATCCATCTTCAAACTGCTCCTTATTTGAGATCTATAAACACATTTATTTTAAATTGTTAAAAAATCTTTGAGCTTTTGCATTAGAGGATCAAGTTTTTCGGGGATACCTTTCTTAATATATGCTAGAGGCAATAATGATGTTGAGCACTTGAAAAGACTTTTTCAATGGTTGATTTCATGGCTCTATCTTGATCGATTATTATTGCAATTAGAGACTTTTCACCCATAGCTCTAATCCATGTCCGCATTGATGAAGTAAAGAGATTCATCTGCAGGTAGTGCACACCCAAGTAATGTTGATTGATAATGATTATTCACTTCAATAAAAGGAGTAAAAGGCATTTTGTACTTATTAGTGTTATATTTCGTGTTAGAAGAAACAACATCTTTGAAATCTCGATAATCATCTCTTCCTTTTGTATCAACCTAAAAAACATTTTTCAATCCACCTCCATCTAAATATATGGCATAAAAAAAATTAGATTCTTTTCTTGCATATGTATAAAATATTCAAACATTGCATCGGCATCTCCAAATTCTAACTCTAAATTACGCTCTTTATCAAAACGATTCCCGATGTCTTTCTCAAAACATCTAATATTTTCATATCCACCATGTTCTTCGGCTATTGTAGCATAAATTTTGATTCTTTTTACCCCAATAGCATTTAAAGTCTCTATACAATGTTTTTTAGCTGAAATGATTCTTATATGGCAAGGAAAATATCGAGCATGTGCTGAAAAAAATTCATGATTGTGATCTTTGATGAAGTTTTGAACATACCACTTCCATCATGTCTTCTTTTAATATGTAGCATAGCCTTACATTCCATCTTCAAGCAAGTATGCATATTATTGGCATTGGATGGTCGCTTGGTCTAATATCTTGTACATGCATATTTCACATCAACAAATTCTCTCGATTCCTTTGAATGACAACTCGGTTTTCGTTGGCATTCCAAACCCCACATCCTTAGCATAATTTCTATATAATGAATACTATTTTGTCAATCAAATTTCATTCCAACGTAATGTTTTGTGCTTACTTTTCTATCGGATTCATCAATACACGAATCAAAATTATTAATATCATTAAGAACATCTTCTCCAATATCAATATTTAAGTCAATGTCCAATCCCATTTTGGCTTGATATCACAAAAAACAAAAACAAAAACAAAAGTAATTAAATTATATATTTTTTAATTATACACTAATCTAGCAAATCAAAATCTTCTAATCATATATATGAATAAAGTACTAAGTTTTTAACTATAATAATTAGATAATTGATGGAACCATACACCTATAAGTTTGCGAGTTCTAGATTTTACTACCGAGAAGATTGTTACAAATTATATGCATAAATCTATACTTAGAAAAATAATTCTCAAATCGCCCAACATACTTCAACATGTAAGTTAGTGATTACTAAAGTAGATGTAAATATCACACACCAAATCAAATAATAAGAACACAACTTAAAAGAAATGAATAAAAAAAAATTATACGAGAAACTTACCTTAAAAGCCAAGGAAACAAAATCAATATTTTAGATTTTTTGGAATTAGGATATCTTTTAGTTTTTTCTTTGTTATTTGAGAATTTGGAATGGGGATATCTAGGTCGGAGGGAAGAACATTGGAAATTGCTTGACAAATTATTTTATTTTATAAGCAAAAAATAAAGTTAAATAAATAAACAAATGGTATTTTAATCTTTTAGATAATATGAGATTTTTTATAATTTAAAAACATCATGAGAACATGAGACATCAATTATCTTTTGTTTGTTATTATTAGACGTGGACATTTTTATTGAACAAATGTTTAAAGGAGAGTGTTGCTAGCATTCTTCTTTATTTTATTCCTAAAGTATCACCTAATTTTCAAGATCACCTCTAACACATCAATAATTTCCTTACACCACTCACTCCATCTAAAATGTTACAAATTAAATAATTTTCTCATATAATTTAACTGTGTCTCTCAAAAGGTACTTGCTATTGTTTTAAGGAAAAAAATGCCTTCTAGTAATCATAGAAAAAAACCAAAAAAATAATTTATGGATTAATAGTTGCAAAAATTCCTCTACTTTTTTTTTTTTTTTAAATTGCGTTTTTCTATTCTTTTTTGGTTTGAAATTCATCATTTTATGTTTGGTTTCAGTTTTAATCTCATCCCTTCATTAACTTTTGGACTAACAAACTTTTTTTTTTTTTTCTTGATCTTGTTTTCTTATACCAAATTTAAATAAATATTTTTTTAAAAAAAATAGAAAAAGGTTGAAGATTTATTTAGTAATTCGCTGTAAAATAAAAAATAAAGAAATAACTAAAAAAAACTAAAAAAAGTAGCGCTAAATTTTTTTTTATCCAAAATATTCTTTATAGGTTTAAATTTATACCTATCATAGCAATCAACATTTAAGCATTAAATGAAATATTTAGAGTATTATTTTTTAAATATGAAGATAGTCTTAATTCATTTTTTAATTTGAATAATATTTTAAACGAATCTATTATAATTTACTCATTTTGATTTTACAAAATTTTTAATTTAACTCGAAAGAAGTAATATAAATTTTTATTAGTATTGGACTTAGCACTAACAAATTTTTAATTTAACTAAAATTTATAATAAAATTTATATTCTCACCGTGGAGTACAATTAAAAAATTTATAAAATCAAAATAATCAGATTATAGTAGACTCTTTTGAAGTATTATAAAATTATAAATACTATTCAAAAGATTACAATTTTAACTAAAATTATCTCCACTTTTTAAAAAATAATTATTACAAATATTTTATTTTATAGTTAAAAATTACTAGCTATCATATTATAGAGATAAATTTAAACTAGTAATGAATATTTTGGATAAAAAATATTTTTAGCTTTGCCTTTTCGTTTTTATTTTTACAGGACCAGATATATTGTCTTCTTTTTTCTCATTTTTTTTAATTTTCTAAAATTTATAGTAAATTTAGTATAAAAAATTAAGAACGAAAAATATAGTTGAAAGATGAGATTAAAATAGAAAAAGAAACAAGTTAACATATTAGTCCAAAAGTTAAAAAAAAAGGTGAGATTAAGATAAAAACCAAACATAAAAAGGAGAACTTAAGGGAAAAAAAAAAAAAGGAAAAAGACACCATAAAAAAAATATACAGAGACCTATGCACCCGTTAATCTAATAATTTATGTTTACGACATATAAAGAAAAATAAAAAAGACATTACTCATTATTTTGCGTGCAGAAACAGTGTGTTTTAATTCGCGACACAAAGAAAACCGCCTTTCTTTCCAAGTCAAAACAGCAAAACGGGGCACCCACCTGTCGTTTTACCATCCAAGCATCATCTCCGTCACTGTTAACTTCCACAAAAACCTAACCAGAGCAACCATCTCTGCCAGCAAAAGCATTCCACAACAATGAATTTCCGCTTTTCTGACAAATTCCCTGTTTTTACTCACCATTTACGTCTGAGCCACCAGCACCATCAACAGCGGCAGTTCTTCACTTCGCTTCTCAAAAAGGTCCAAACAACATCTCAAGTACGTGCTTCTTTCAATGGAAACAGTGGCAATTCCCGAGGTTAGTTAATTGATTAAGTTTCCCTTTGGTTACTGACAAAATTGAGGAGAAAGAGATGGAAAATGCAATTTTTTTTTTTTTTACTCTGGCTTCTTTTGCTTTCAAGTTAGTTAGTTGTTAAGCATTGCTTGGATGGCACTATAAAAGTATTTTTACTGCTTTGAAGGCAACATTAGAGATTAAATCACTTCAGCTGTAATGGAGAGAGTGAATGATTCTCAAGGTAACAAATTTTATAGTGAATAACTGGTAAAGTATATTGAAAAGATATAAACAAATTAATAAAATTTGCAAATTTGAGAGTCAAACTGGGGAAATCAAAATCATTAGAATTTAGGCTTTTTTTTATAAAAAAATTCTGTTGGTGGCTACTTGAAAAGCATGCAAAGGTTATTAATCGGGGTCTTGTAGGTAATATATTTCTGGTACCTGGTGCAACCGTGGCCACTTTACTCATGCTTGGTGCTCTTCATGCTCGTCGGCTTTATGATGATAAGAAGGTAAATTATTCTATCTCTTTTACTTATTTCTTTTAATATGTCCAAACATATGACTGTTATTGTCACAGTGCTTTCTCAATTGAGACTTTTTCTTGTTTCCTTTCCAGCTTTTTTGGCTTTTCAGCTTGCAAATGTTCTGTTCTCTATACACACTTTTTTTTTTTTTTTTTACTTAGCGACTACTGTATTTGTTATGGTTCATGCTCATAAGAGTTTGATTTTCAGTATGTCATCTTTTTTTTTTCCCTATACACTCCTTAATGGTCATTAATCTGTTACATTCTTTGTTTCCGCTTGGTGGCAGGTCGAAGAGGCACGGGAGAAAGGAATTGAGTTTGAGTTTCAACCTGATCTTAAAGTAATGTGTTTATATTAATGACATAAAATTTAAGTTTTGAAGCTTCAACCTTTTTTTTTTTTTTTAATTAAATCTGTTTTGGTTATCGAATCCTGTGATGTTCATATCTGATTTTTTAATTAATTCCCATGACACCAGGCTTCATTTTTGAGGATGTTACCTTTACGCTCCATTTCTAGAGTTTGGGGTTCGTTGACTAGTGTGGTGAGTATTCTTCACCATTTTCTTTTAGCTACAGCCTTTAGTTATATTACCTCCCTCCCTTCCTCCAATATATACTTTAGGTATTATAAGCATAAAGTCAGTTATGGACATAGGTTTTTTGCACCAGCCACCCTGCTGTCTGATTCAATAAAAAATACACAACCCAAATTGACTGCAAAAATTCCTCTTTTCTCTATCACTGCCTTCATCATTGTGTTACTACAGCATTGGTGCTCTGCTATTTCTGCATCACTTGCTAAAGGAACATGTTTTCAGGAACTTCCTGTTTGGATGCGTCCACATGTCTATAGAGCTTGGGCTCGGGCATTCCATTCAAGTATAATTTCTTACTGAATCTCTGTTACCCTTAATCGATTGATACCTGTACTTTTTTCCAAGTTTTGTTATTGTATTTTTTTTATAGATTCAGTACAGTATGTGAGTGGTTAGCTAAAATCAAGGAAATAAGAAAAGTTCTAAGCTGCTGTTCATTTCAGACTTAGAAGAAGTAGCTCTGCCTCTTGAAAACTATGCTTCTTTACGGGAATTCTTTGTTCGGACTTTGAAAGAAGGCTCCAGGCCTATCGACCCTGATCCAGATTGTCTGGTAACTGGTAACAAGTTTCTTGTGGAATCTTAGTTTTCCAAACTATTTCTTTTGAGGTATCGCTGATTGTTTTACAACTTGCATGTCTATGTTTCATTTTTTCTTCAGGTTAGTCCTGTGGATGGTACTGTTCTAAGATTTGGAGAGTTGAAAGGCTCAGGGGCTATGATTGAGCAAGTCAAAGGTTTTTCTTATTCTGTTTCTTCTGTTCTTGGTGCTGGCTCCTTCCTTCCCATGATAACTGAAGGGGATATGCACAAGGAGAGTAGTGAACAGCAAAGCAACCTCAAAGAGAAGAACAAGAAGTCATGGTGGAGAATTTCATTGGCTTCACCTAAAATCAGAGACACTGTGTCAGCATGGTACTCACATATTGACATCTTTTCTTTTCCGTCTCCATGTATATGAATTTAATTTTCGTGGCAGAACAGGCATGAATTGCTTATTATTAAGCAGTTTTCTTTAGATTAACCTAAAAGTAGTGGATATCATGCTTCTAGTGCAAATACGTTTGATATAGCCATATTTTTTTCCTACTACACAACTTATTTTCATTGTATTTTGATGAAATTATACTTCCAGAGTTCATGGGAAATCTTAGCCAAAGAGCTATTTGTTCAGAGAAAATGCCATTGCAATTTTGGGATTAAGATGAGGAATGTTAAAGTCCTTTGATAATTTTTTTGGAACCTCATAATGGTGAACAGTAATGAAGAGGTTCAAACGCAATCATGCTTTACATATTTGTGGTTTCACCAATTGACATAAAAGGCGAACTCCTAAAGTACCTCTGTGCCAGAACATGCGCCTTTTACTATTCTTGCATGGTTTCAAAATCTTGAAGTGCATATGAAATTTATAGTGCCACATGGAACGTGCTATGAGCTTTCAACCATATTTTGGAACTAAATCTCTGTTGAGTTAAGCATCTTAATATGTGTGATATCATTAGTTATTGAAGATGCTATCGGACTTGCATGTTTTCTTTTTTTATTTATGTCCACATGTTATGTAACTGTGATGTATTATTCAATTGCTTGATTAATGTTGATGGTTTATTACATGAATAGATGAATAAAACGAATATGGAATTGACCAAATCACTGTAACCTGGCATATGCACCATGTTTCTTCATGGTTTATTACATGAATAGATGAATAAAACGAATATGGAATTGACCAAACTGCAACCTGGCATATGCACCATGTTTCTTGCATGAAATTTCCTGGGGTGGTCAGGATTTTGCAATCAAGTTTTCCTGTTTATGTTTTAGGCTTTGCACTAGATGATTGATTCGATGTTGAGGTCTGTGGTCCTCTCCCTGCCAGATAAACTTGCTATGTATGGGTAATACGATCCTAAAACAAATGTTAAATCTGGTGCATGCTTCAAAATTTTATTGCAGTCCAGCAAAAGGCCTTTACTACTGTGTAATATACTTGAGTCCTGGAGACTATCATCGTATACACTCACCTGCTGATTGGAATGTTCTTGCCCGCCGGCATTTTTCAGGTAATCCAATTAACCTCGTTTTTGCCTAGGTAACTCGGTTTTTGGACACATTCTTCAGTTAGGGCATGCGTCTACTTATTCTCCTGTAAGATGTTTCACACTTAATTGATGGGATGTGATATAGATAGAAGGAGAACATGACAGAAAAATGTCCCTTTGGAAACTGGTAAAGGACAGTGAAGAATATGTTTGTACAAGTACAGTGAGGAATAAAGAGGGAGAGAGGGCAGCTTATCTATCATCAGGAATGCTATAGAGATGAAATCCTTGGCATTATATTGATATATACCTTTGCATATATGAGAAATCACGCACCATGCCTTTCTGGCAGTGTCCTGTACTTTTTATTTGTTCCTTGTTGTTGCACATTCGTAAATTTGTCTAAACGGCTATAGGAATCACTAAGTACATAAGGAAGAGCATGTTTGCACCTGTACACTTTGTGATACATGGGGTCAATAGTTTTGTTGGATATTCTTGCATGTCTCTATTATTCCAGTAATATATAATCAATGGGATTTTATGCTGCTAATTTTTTAGTTATTATGTAGGGAATCTATTTCCTATGAATGAACGAGCTACAAGGACAATCAGAAATTTGTATGTTCAGAATGAAAGGGTAATTCTGATTTGTTTGTACCTCTTGTACTTGACATTAAATTTTGGCATTGTTATAACTTCAATATTATTTTTACTCTTCTAGGCTTTTTCTTGTTGGATTGGAGTTATTTAGTTGTTAAGTTTTAGAATGTTGTATAAGATGGGGGAGGAGAGGTGAAGAGCTACTTCATGCTGTGAAACTCTCCTTCTGCATATAATTTATATATGTATTGGATATTTGATTCTTATGTTCACAATAAAAAATTAACAAAAACTTTACTGGACAGTTGCTTGATGTAAAGAACTAGAGCCTAACACATGTTTTGTGCGTGAATGCGTGTTTTCACTCTCTTTCACCGTTTGTTTATATCTTTTTTGTTAGTATGAAATGTGACAGTATGCCTCATGTGCTACGTTTTCTCATTCTGCACATTTTCATCTAGTCAATTATCAGCTGGCTTTGAACTTTTTAGCTATGGTAACACGCTGTGCAGGCTTGATTCAAAATAGCCTGACAGAATTTTCTTGGATGTTCCAAGTTTTTATTCTTGAGTGTGCTCTGCTTAATTACCTTCTCCTCATCTTCATGGGTGTCTCAGAGGTTTCATTCATTGCCTTTGTAATTCTGTTGTCACCAGGTTGTGCTTGAAGGTTTGTGGCAAGAAGGATTCATGGCTATTGCTGCAATTGGTGCTACAAATATCGGGTCAATTGAGGTAATGCAACCAATAACAGAAATCTAGTTAGACCCAACTGTAATCTAGTACATCTCTAATGAGATGTCTCAGGTTAAACTTGTATGTTGTACAGCTTTTCATTGAACCAGAATTTCGAACAAACCAGCCAAGGAAAAAGATACTGAATTCAGAACCTCCAGAGGAACGAGTATATGAACTTGAAGGGGTTGGTAAAATTCTCAAGAAAGGAGATGAGGTTAGTAATGCATATAGATTGTAATTTTGAGAACGATACTTGCAAGTGTCTAAAGAGGAAGATGAAAAATAAGAGATTTAGATATAACTTTAGAATGGGTAATTACTCAGTGCTTAGATTACAGCTATTATTAACTCAGGTGAATTCCTTCCCAATATCTCTTCTTCTTATTTAGTTCCAAGTTTTGCTGTTAATCTTTTCAACGTAGCTGCTTGGAATCCATTTTCTTTCCGACCTGTGTTCTTCAATTGGTTTCAAAAGGATGGAACAAACATATTAATCACCATGACAATTTGATTTCTCTGAATCTTTTCATTTTAAGATGATGTTTTTCATGACTTCGATGCTTAATGATTGGTCCATTTAGGTAGCTGCTTTCAACATGGGATCAACAGTGGTGCTCGTGTTCCAGGCTCCCACATTAAAAACGCTCAAAAACAGGGATTCATCTTCAGAGTTTAGGTTCGGTATCAAACGTGGAGATAGAATACATGTTGGAGAAGCATTGGGGAGGTGGCATGAATTGTAAGGACAAGCATGGCGTGTGTGGTATATTGACAATTGAGAGCCATTTATATGTTGCAAGTAGATGGTAAGCATTTGTATATAAAAGTTACATCAATGAAGGTACCGAAGTGATTTCTCCCCCTATTTCTTGGGGGCTTCAAGCCTTCTACTGCACAACTTTTGTTTCCTGAAGCACCTTTGTTGGTCATTGAAATCAAGTGGTTTCCACTATTATGAGTGCAGAAAAAAAAACGAAGTTATATCCTAGGGGTCGTGCGCGCAAGAACCAATTAGCATCAAGTAACTCCTCTATGGAGTGCGACTTTAAGGACTGTACAGCTGGTTCTTCTATGTCTCGGTCATATACTTCGTTGTTTTATTTTAATATTATTAATTTACGTTATTCATAATTTGGCTTTAGCTTGTGTTTGTTTAATTTGGGAAGTAGCGAAATTTTCCAACAGAGAGACAAACAAGATCAGTTCTTCAAGCTCCTTAAAACATAAACTGTTTTAAGTTTAAAATAGAATTGTATATATGTTCCGAGGAGATAAGATTCGAACTATAAAGAGAGAACATAAGAATTGGACGACTTAGCCATTACAATCATTTCCTTTCCAAACTGTAAAGGATGACGACTTTGATAGTACTCGCTTTTATTCACGAAGTCACGAACCAGGGGACAAACAAGAAACAACGTAGTGGCCGCTCGTAAATGAAGTTTCCAATGCAACCCAAAAGCTTATAATCCCAATCCGCATCTGGACACAGAGAAGAAGGGAAGCTATAAACTGCGGGACTTGGAAGCACAGTGAGTTCAACGAGAGCTAATACGTACCATGCGTCATCAGTGCTGATACAAGTGATGCTGCCGCAATCGGCTTTGGATCATGAAAACATGATCAGTTATATTAAATTGAATCCATCTAAGAATTTAATAATTTTATTTAAGAAACATGAGAGGATTGAATCTTACTACATCTTACTGCAACATTTGTCCCTTCTACCCAATCGATGCCCCAAGATCTCTTTTTGATACTTGTAACTTACACTGCATGGTTGGTTGACTTATTGCAGCTTTTGGTGATTTAGGATCTAAAATCATCAATTTGGAGATCTAATAACCTAAACTTTTTTTTTTTTTTAACTCACACATCCAATTAGTTTATTATGATTTAAATTTATGACCTCTAATTGTAAGATGTGACTGAACTACAAGCTCTTTGATCTAAAAACCTAAACTTCATCATCTAAAAAAAATACTTTCAAACATGTTGAAACTTATAAATATAAAAAAAAAATTTATAATTTTAATATCTAAACATTGATTTTTTTTTCAATACCCAACTGGTAAATTCTTTTATTTGAATGTACAAGTTTTGAGATTTTTTTTTTTTTGAATGCCTAAAACTACTTAAGAATATGAAATGATGACATGTTTGGAATGAACTATTATGTGATATTTTTAATTGACACATGGAAAAATGGAGTAATTAAAGAAAAAATATAATTAAATTAAATAACTTTTAACTAATTGAAAACAAACTTCCAAATCATGGATCTTCAAAAAGAATAGTTTTTTAAAGAATCCAAAACCTAGACCCAGAAAATGCTTCAAAAATCATGGGTCTTCTTTTGATTCAAGAACATGGTGAAAAGGAAATGATTAGGTTAGCTTTTGGACCAGAAGCACTTGTTCACTCGATGATCTTTAAAGCCAGGAAAGAACTTGGATTTAGCTCTCCAACAAACGTTTCTACAAGTCCTTCCTCTCATTTTCCTCTATGCTCAAGCAACCATTGCCATCTTTAGACAAAATTCATCTTCTACAACTTCAAGACTTGGGATTAATATCTGTACTTCACTTACTATCCCAAACCCTTCATCAAATAATTCTTCTTAGAGTGACCTTCCAAACCCTGATGACATGATTAGTCCTAATGGTAGTTCAGCCTTTGTATACTAACGGAGTAAGAAGAGGATGAGAGTCTGATTTGATGGATGAGTTTCAGCTCCAAGACCAGCTTTCTTTCTTAAATGATAATTCACCAAATCTTCGTCCTAAAAGTTCGTATCTTTTCACCCTCAACTTGATGCTTTATCAAGCCCAATTATTGCTAGTGATTCTATGACGTTACCTTCTTACTGCTTTACCAAGCTCTTCTGTCAGTGATGTTTTGGGATCCGAGGATCCAAATTCACGGTTTCGATGGAGACCTTATCTTTACTTTGCTGGAGAGTACTGTAAGAATGGAACTACCTGTAGGTTTGTTCCTGGGAGCTTGGAGAATCAGATGGTGTAAGCGTTGTTGTGGGTTCCCCTAACAGTAACAAGAAGATTGATTATGATGGTGCAAGTGCTGCTTCTTTTCCTTACTCTCCTAAAAGCACGAACTTTCTTCTTCAACAGCCACAAAATGATAGCCAGAGGTACTTGAGAAGCTAGGCCGTCATCCCAAAACTATTAGAACTACAAAAATCTGCACTCCAAATGCGTTTGTTATAAGCTAATTTCTTTCTTTTTTGTAAGTAGTAGTAATGTTAGAACTTAGAGCTATAAAATCTGCCAATCGTTGCGCATTAAATTCCTTTCTTGTCTCATGCTGCTGGTTTTGCACTGCTACCGAGCACAACCACATAATCAGAGTTCCATGAAACTGATCCATTCTATTTTGATTCCTGAGTCAAAGTTACCAAATATATTCTACCAAATCAAAATCATGCAATTCTACTCAAATAAAAAAAAAAAAAAAAACAACGTCCTGGCGGCCTGTTTCTGAGAGGAGATGACAACAGTGAGTGAATGCATAAGTAGACTCAACTTTATGAGGGTTGAGCTGGTAAAGACCATTGACCCCATCAATCTTGTTACCACTACTTCGATCTCATCACCACCATGTATACTTTTTCAATGAGATAGAACTATAACACATCTCTGAAACCGAGCCATGAAAAATCATTCTGTATAAATCTCATTGTTCCCGATCCTTGTGTATCCTACATAGTTTGCGCCTCCAAACATTTCATTTCGCAACGGTAGCTAGACGAAAGTTTCCATAATATCTCTCAGCAAATGGAAACACATACCAAGCATTTGCATTTTCCACGCTTCTTTTTCTACATTCCCAGATCCATCAGGCTTCCAAAATGAAAACAACAAATTTAATCATTCTAACACGTAGTTTCGGTTCTTCTGTACCATGGCTTAGACTGATACAGAGAGCATGTAAAAACAGAGCAAAGTTTAATCCATGCTAATCCAGTAAATACAACCATCAATTAAGGCATCAGTCATTAGCGTAACCCATGCCGTCAGGCACGTCATATGACCTTAGTCCTAAAAACAACAATGTATCACCAATTCAAACAAGCATTTTACAGTGTCAGCGACATCTAGACATTCTAGATTCTACCAAACAAATGCAAAATTCACCACAAAAACATATTATCCCCCATATCCTATTCTAGCAGAAAGGTTCTATATATGATAATGGCTTAAAAAAAAAAAAACACTAAGAAAAAATCAATGAAGTGTCTGTTCTCCCTATTCATAAACTTCAAAACGAGACCAAATTGGGAAGGGAAAAAAAATGACAGCACAATCACAACATATAAAATTTATTCCATCAAACAAAGACAAGTTTGAAATGGCACTAACATATTTACTTGATAAAAAACATCGAATCAAACCACACTCATTCCATTTTACAAAACTCGATAATAATGAGAGTTTCCCAACAATAAAAGATATAATAGAATTAGAGTTTCTGTCAATGCAGGCAGCATTTACATTTGTATTTGCATAATCTGTCAAAAATACCTCATCTTCTTCTTGCATGCTCTTCAAACTTAACCCAGCCAGCACGAATTCTATATCTAAAAAGCCTCTCTTTCAATCTTTATCTCTCTATCAAAACTTTGCCCTGAGAATATTACAATAGAAAAAGAAAAAACCATTTGGCTTCAGATTTAATCAAAACAACAAACTAATAACACGAAGCAAATCAGTAAAAATAGGCAAAGGCACACCTACGTCTGTTTGGAGTACGTGGAAGAAGAAGGACCCCGCTTGTTACGAAACATCATGTAACCGACGGGTAACACCACTCCGATCATCATTATTGCTGCGCCGATTATGTATCTTAACGGACTCGGTGGTTCCACCTCCATGATTCTCCTGTACTGCACCCGCAGCGTATCAAACAGTTAATTTTTTTCTTAAAAAAAAAATAGAATGAATTTGCGTTAAAGTGAATAATAATAATAATAGATCTAGATCCACAATAATCAGAGAGGGAGAGAGAGAGACTACAGGCATTTTCTGATTATACGATTTTCAATCGGATCGATCGAATGTGAAATTGAGATAATCGCACTTCAATTACTGGATATTTGCTCGCTTGGCTTGCTTGCTTGCTTGACTGATTGATTGCAGTTTCTTCGGCAAAATAGTGGAAAAGAAATGCGGAATTTCAAGTTCTGCTTACTAGTTAGTTGGTCCTTCCAGGATCTGAATTCTGTCCTGTGAGATTGGTCCAGTGAAGTCTGTTGACCACTAGGTGGTTGCCACGAGGACATAAAAAAGACCGTCGAATTGGGTAGTACGTGGTCAATATCCTTGCCAATCTCATTGGCCCATTAAGCGCCATCCACCACTTCCACAAAAAAAAAAACAAAAAACAAAAAAAAACAAAAAAAACAAAAAAAACCCGTCAAGATAGACAAAAATAAAGAAATTCTGAAAATGGGAAAGTAATGGGAGCTTCAACCACCACCCCAAACAAAGTTGGGTGGGTGCCTTGGCCAGTGCTTGTGCAATTTTTAATGCTAGACTAGACTGACTAGCTTAGAAGAGAAATATGAATCTGACACAAAAAAGAGTGAGTTCAAGCCTTCCTCAAGTATTTGGATTTGGAAGCAGAAGCAGCACCATCAGGTCCTTCAAGTCCCTCGATTCCTCCTCTATCACCCAGGGCATCCATGTTTTCCAGTGCCCTGTAAGTCAGTCAGTCACGTCCCTTTACATTTATTTATTCCAGAAACAAAGAAATGAATGGACATTGGTATTGAATTGATAGAGATGTATATCTGTGTCAATGGTTAGGATGCTGTTGGTATTGTTGCTAAGCTATCAGATTGTATTGCTTCCAGAGGCGGAAACATTCTCGGTGCTGATGTTTTCGTCCCTGAAAACAAGAATGTCTTCTATTCTAGAAGGTATTACATGAAATTTATCACTCCATTTCCATTCCTTCGTTTCATTTTCTTTGTTATTTATCTAAATGACAAATTTATGACGCAGCCTTTTTAGTTAGATTTGGTTTTTAGACATTCAAAATCTGAATTTTCTTTTTTAATGTTCTTGCAAATGGGTTTGTGTTTGTGGTCGTGATTCAAGAAATGGTGTTTTTCAATGCTCGATGTAATTCAGTAGTTGGGACCAAGCTTGACTTATAAATTGTGTTTGCAACTGGAGTTGTATTCTGATTTCAATGCAATGTGGCAGTGAGTTTATTTTTGACCCAGTTAAATGGCCGCGGGTACAAATGGATGAGGACTTTCTCAGGATTTCAAAGATGTTCAACGCAAAAAGGTCCATTGTCCGGGTGCCTAAGCTAGACCCCAAATTAAAGATTGCTGTTCTTGCTTCGAAGCAGGTGCATTTTGTTATAATTTTTCAGTGGTTGTGTTTTACGCTGTCAATATTAATTTAAATCTGTGCATGTCTTGCTGCAGGAACACTGCCTGATTGACTTGTTACATTCAGGGCAAGATGGAAGACTTCCAGTTGATATAACTCGTGTAATAAGGTGAACCCTTTGGAATGTCACCCTTTTAGTTTATATCTATTTGGTTTGAATGATGCTGATTGTGATTCTTCATGCATTTCATAACAGTAATCATGATAGAGGACCAAACACACACGTGATTCGATTTCTTGAAAGGAATGGTATTCCTTATCATTATTTGCCCACTACCAAAGAGAATAAAAGAGAAGATGAGATCTTGGATTTGGTTCAGAACACTGATTTTTTAGTTCTTGCCAGGTACATGCAGGTAAATCTGATGATAAGGTTCAGAGTTCCTCATCTGTTTACTTCTTGTGTACCAAACTAAATCATTCTACGTAGTTCAGCTAATAGAAGAAATAGGGCTTCCTTATTTCCTTTCAACTCTGAAAGCCAATGAATATTCATAAAGGAAGTGCCGTGATATTTTCCTTGTGTCCGTCCTTTTGGCATCATCAACCATAATAGATTACTTGCAATGGTTATGATGCATACACAGTTGATATAATTGAATCAACTATTGCCACATTTGTAGTCACAAAAGTTAATTCTTGCTGCAGCTATTATCTGGTAAGTTTTTGCGGAGCTATAGGAAAGATATAATTAACATTCACCATGGGCTTTTGCCATCATTTAAGGGTGGGCATCCATCAAAGCAGGTTAGTTTTCTAACCTTGTTCTTATGATATAGAAATTATCACCTTTCAACGATTTCAACTTTCCTTCCTGACTCCCATACATGTTTAATTTGCTAGATATTGTTGGCAGGCATTTGATGCGGGTGTGAAATTAATTGGCGCGACAAGTCACTTTGTTACTGAAGAACTTGATGCAGGGCCTATCATTGAACAGATGGTAATCATTGTTACGGCAAGAAGATGTTTTCTCATCTAACTTCTCATAATTTTAGTTGTTTGTACTCGGTGATGAATATTTTCCTGTCTCATTGATTTGGGTTTTGTACTTACTTTCTCTGTTAGCACATTATCATTGTCCTTGCCATATTGCAAAAATTTTAGCATGCAAACTGTATCGCTTAGTAAAATTCTCCACATTCAGATCTATGCAATGCTGGAGCTTCTTGAATGAATCAACAATTGTTAATCAAATATCAAATAGCCATTCTATCAAATATAGGTTTTCTAGATGCTGCTTATTTCTAGGATTAAAGGCTGTCAAACAAAATCCTAATTGACAGAGTTCAATATCCTGTTGCTTAGAAGAAATAAGGAGTCGATTGTGAAAGGAAGTGGGCATTTTTTACAGGCATCAAACAAAAACAGGTTGGTATAGGAACTAAGTCAGACTGAAATCTACGAGATGACTGGATCAAGTTGAATTAGCTGAAGGAGAATATGAGAGGCTAAAAAGTGCTCAACTACAATTTCTTTTCTTTCTTGTGTGAGATTTCAAAATGATTCCTAACGAAACTGATTGTGATGATTTAAACCTAATATCTCGTGTGGCTGATGTTGTTTATTCAAGGATTTGTGTGATTTCACTCACTTTCCTTGTTTGAAAAATTAAGTTTAGCTTGATTTGTTAAGAGTTGTTTTAGTGGATTTCTGAAGCTATGCTGGTGAAATTAACAAGAAGGGTTTGTTCTTCAGATGAAATTGTCTCAAACTCTGTTTTAATTGATCACTATTGCTGTTGAAGTTCTAACGGAATATGTGATGTGTCATCACACCTTCCATACAATGTTATTGTGACATTGATCCTTGGTTTTTATCCACCAGGAATTGCAGGATATTTGTAACTGGTTTTGCCTTCAAGTTGCTTACGTTTTTTTGATATACTTGTTTAAATGTTGCAGGTTGAGAGGGTTTCCCATAGAGATAATATGCAGAGTTTTGTGCAGAAATCAGAGAACCTTGAGAAACAATGCCTTGCAAAAGCTATAAAATCATACTGCGAATTGCGTGTTTTGCCTTATGAGGAAAACAGAACTGTTGTATTCTGAGGTGAAGACAGAGAGAGCTGTTAAAATGGTTACAATCTGTATATATCTCAAGTTATTCATTTAAATTTCTATTTAAAATATTCTCAACCCGTTGCAGAATATGTATATTTCGAACTCAAAAGCCACCTAGTGAAATTCAAGCCTTCTCTTTCGATCACCAGACAAAACTGGATTTTTTAATTTTTGGCCACCTACTGTAAGTTTATCTTTAGTTATCGCCTGGTGTATCCTTAACATATGTGCAGAGAGAAAAGACACGTTTTATAGTGTTTTACTGCTTCTAAGGAGGATGTCTCAGTCTCCTCTTGTACGTTCCTCCCCCTTCGATAGTGAAGTCTCTCGCAAACACCCACCACCACCACCACGCCGTTAAACACACGTTTTGTGGTTGCTTTATGGTATATGTTAGCTAGCTCCTTAGAAATCAGTCTGTTGGTTAACATGGATGGGGCGAGCAATATGCACATGTTTATTCATGGGTGCTTCAATTGAAACTGAAATGCCTGAAAAATTATATAGCTACAAGGTCTGTTATATCTTGATTGTTACTTTTGTATTATGCTAAATTTTGGTATCTGGGACTTTGGTCTGAATCAGAAGGTAAAAAAGCAAATAAACTTCTTTCTTCTTTTGTCTCACTGATACATGGTGAACTTTCACTTTAGTTCGCTGTAAGAATGATGATTGTAAAAGAATTCTCAACTCTGCCAGTTGCACTCTCTTGACAATCCTAGACGCAACCTGAAGGTTAATACATTGTCGAATATTCACACAATTTGCCTAAATTCGTGCACACAAACATTCATGTAAAATTGGTTGATAATCATGTACGCATTTCTTACATTACATAGGTAAATTGAAAGGAGAGCTGTCTCTTCTGGTTTCATAATTTCGGGACTGCATAAGATAATCATGTATGCACTTCTTACATTACATAGGTAAATTGTACATAAGAGGGATTTTCATTTGTAATGTCACTATTATACCATTGTCACACTATGGATAATTAAACAAAACTTTCACCTGTTTTATATTCTTGGAGCAAATATACAAACATGGATCATATTATGCACCATTGGCTATGCTTAGACATTTAAGTGAGGGTCAGTTGCTTCCACACAGCTGACTAGTCGAAGAAGATTTTGGATGTCACCAACCCACCTCTGCTTGTGAACTTTGCTCTTACACTTGAACTCTAGCAGACCTTGTGCTGTTTTAACGCCGAAGTACACTTCTTCAGTACTTTCTCTTTCTTTTCTATATGGCCATGCTGTTGACTCGTCACAAACTCCATAAACAACACCTAATAGAAGCAGAAGACATTCAGATGTTAAGAGGATGTAATAATGCAGAAATGGTTGCTCAAGTATTTCAAGATTTGCAACAAGAAGAAAACCACAGCACAAATTAAATAAAAGAAATGGTAAAGATAGCGTGCAACTGGAGAAAGACTGAGACAATGCCAAACTGAACAGTCAAAGGTAAATTCTTACTTTTGTGCTTCTTGGACAAGGCTCCTCCAACGTGTTTGCTTTTGATCTTAATTAGGACCTGAAAAGATTTATATTGGTGACTATTTATGAGGAATAAACTATTGCTCCAACTTGTCTCCAATTTAGAGTATGTACCTGAGATTTCTTGTTGATGTACACCGTGACATGTTTCCATCGCAACACTCCTGACAATTCCAATGACAGCTCATTTAGCGTTAGCATCTAAAATCACTCTAAGTCTCAACAGCAGTTTTATTTCTTAGGATTTCTTTATCAAGATTCCAAGGAAATTTCAAAAGAAACAGAGAGAGCAAGCACCTTTCTTTGTGTGTTGCAATAGTTCACCCACACAGGGAGGACCCTGTTCTTCCAATGGACCATTTAAAGAAGTCCAGTGGGTGTCTGCCATTCCCCTATCGTAAGGACTTATAGCAGCATTCCTTCTTGCTTCTTTCGGTAATCTTGCTTTTAAAGCTGCTTCTCCTCTCAAAGCTGATATAAAGGATGGATCACACTAGTTTACTAAACGATATCAAGCAATTGGAAAGACAAGAATACCAGAAAAAAGATCGTGCAATTACCTGTCGCTGCTGCTGCAGTAAGGGTCATTAGATCACCAGGACTTTGAATATCTACTGCTGATCTCACAACAGAAGCCACACGATCATGATCAGCTCCAGCTGATTCTGCTAATTCTATGCAATGTGATGCGAGGAGCTCTGTAGCCGAGGCCAAAGCCATGCTCATTTTGGAGCTGGAGCCACTGGAATTTCCTGCAGCGGTCGCCGCAGCCAAGGCTGCCGCTAGTCCGGCTATAGATACAGCAGAATACATATGTGCATTTTCCGTGCGTGCTTTGTCTTTCTTCTTCACTGCACTGCTACTGAATTCCTTGTGGTGAAACCATTTTCCTATTGATCCTGTCCTTGAATTTTTGGAATTCACCACCTTCCCTGCCTGCAAAACAGCAAAATAATTAGTTGATAATAATTGGATGGATTATGTACCCCAAAAAAAGCATTGAATGACTTAATTTCAGATTTGTGAGTGTTCTGATTCGTATAATAGAAAATGATGAGCACAGAAAGGAGAAACAACAAATAAACTAAGAGTGGCCGAGAAGATGCTCACTACTTGTGGTGCCATCATTGTCTCTGGAAAAGTATTGGGATTCTTTTCAGTGAAAAATTGTTTCTGCTTCTGAGCTAGAGCTTTTGAAATTTCTGAAGCAGAGAGACTCCAGGATCTAGACAAGAACTCCATAGGCTCTCTTGGTGTCTGTGGTTGAGGGATTACGGGCAGCGAAGATGCTGGTTTCAGCTCTTGTTCCTCTCCTAAATAATCTAGCAAAGAACTACACTTAAAAGCAGAATAAAGCTCACTTTCCATTTCTTCAATCTGTAGCTGAAATATTCCAATCAAATTGTAAACCTTCTCTTCCTTGAGCTAGTTTCTTGTACAGGACAGTGATCTATCTCATCAAAATTGCAATGACTGGTACCGTTTCCTGCCATATCAGTGAGAGATACCTCTAAGCAGAAGAAGAATAAGAAGAAAAGAAAAGAACTTCCAAATTAAACAAGAACGAGCAAGGTTTTAAAGAAAGAGCATTCCTTGCTAAAACAAGGAAGAAGTAGCAAAAGAAATAAAAGTAAACCAAAATATGATTGTAGAGATCTGTTATTCTAACCTTGCAAGCTCAGAGGCTCTATGTGCAAAATAACAAAGCAAATAATAGCATACAACTTCCTGTGCAACAAACTTCTTATATATAGCTTGTAGCTACAAATAGGCCAAGAAACTGCATAATAGGAGACAAAGTAGATCACAAAAGCACTTTCCAAAATCTAGTGCTTTGAAACCTCAAGAAAATAAGGTCGGGTTTTTCATTAAAGGGATCAAAAAGACAGAATTCACCCAACTCGATAACTAATATAATTCTAGTTTAAAGGACACAAACAGAACAGTATCCTTAATAAACGGGGATTGCTTCTTAAGCACTCATGCAAGAAAAGCGCAGGTTTCTATAAGGAAACAATGGATCATATGTATTAAACTCTCTACTTTTTGGACGGTATGAGTGTATTAAATAGTTGAGTATATTTGCCCTACGAATGCTATTAAGAGCGCATGGATGTTTCTCTCTTATAAGTATTTTGGAAACTTGAAAGTTTGTGCAAAGATCAGCGAACTCATGAGCATTGGCTGGACGGTGGGGACAGTTTAGGATTCTCTCTCTTTCATTTCAACAGCTTTACTCAAAGCCGACGGGCAAGGTTGGCATCATCATCTATCACCTTTAAAATTTATTCCTTTGAGGAACTATGGGTCAATATATTTATTTGATATATATATATATATATATATATTGAATTTGTTTGATATGTTTTAGTCAAGGTCTTAAATCTTAATGGAGTGATCTCGAAGTTTAAGATTGAATAATTTATGAATGTAATGGATTATCCTAATTCAATTTAATTATTTACGAATTTTATCATGTAAAGCAAGACACAATTGACAATAATTATGTGAAAAAAAAACTTTATAACCGACTTCAATAAGATACGTGGGTGACGACCGAAATTTGCAAGTGGAGGCTTGGAGCAATAAAAATAGTGTTTAATTTAATATCAATTTATTTTAAAAAAATTATTTTCTCATCAATCATTCCATAATATTTATTTATTTATTCACATTTTCTATTTCTTAAAATAAAATAACAAAACAAATTAAAAAAAAAGATGAAATGGATGAAAAGGACTAATTAATTAGTTTAAAAAATAAAGGGTTATTTAATTTATTTTACAAAACTAAAAAAACTATATTATAATTTACTTTTTTTCGGAGATATTAAAAAGAGTTGGAACAATGGAAAGAAGATCATTAGCTTGACTCATGGGCAAGGATAACAAGCATAAAAAAAAAAGGTTTAATAAATTTTGAATTACACAATAAAGATAGCTCTGCTCCAATCTCAAATCTAAACCGTACCATTTTCATGGTTTGATTGTGAGATCTTTTGTCGGTAATCTTATGTTTTAACTATGGTGACATCCGATTAGAGACGATGAGATACTAGCGTGCATGCAAATATTATTTGACCATGATTGTTCATCACCATAAAATCAATCTTGTTAGAAAGATATCTAGCAAACCATTTTGTCAAATTGGGCGGTCCTTTGATCTGTACAATGATTCATCAAGATAAACTGCTAGTTAGCCAGTCACTTCCCCTGTACCTAACTAAGTACACTGCACACATGAGTCCTATAATTGGCCTCCTTTAATCTGTGGTTGCGTTGACAGGCCGACAAAAATGCCAATTTTCATGCTCAAATCACGTTTCCACACACAAGGCTTGTCCCATCGGAAACTTCACGCTTGCGTTGGACACTCTGTGTTATTTCCTTGTCACAAATACAAAGCTTCGCTTGCCACCTTGATCATCAAAGGACCACTAACAGCCAAAGATTCTGACTTCACTCAAATTTCAAATTGTAGGATGGGATGGCACATATCATGAAAGTGTTCAAACTTTTTCTTATCGTCAAGAACTGAAAGAGCTGAATAGAGGGCCCCTGGTTTGCAGTACACACATGAACAAGATGGCCCATCTTGATAAATGATTTGACCAAGCCAGTCTGTACACGGTTTTATGCCTATAATCATCACACTCAACACTGGGAGAATATAGGATTTGTATCGAGTCATAATTACAACTCTGGTTTAACCCCGGTTTTGAAAAATGGAAAAACTACAGATACTCCATGGTTTAACTCTGACGACTTCACGCATGGAATATATATAGCAAATGTATCAAATAAAATGTGCTTGTCGATATTGGATTTTTAGTTATCTTTTCTCTATTCACTGTCTGAATAACTCACAAAAAGCTTCTCCAATCATGATATCAAATATATCAAGAAGCATCTAAGTTTAGCTTTTTTGTTGGGAACAGTGTTCAACCTGCTGCTAGAATAAAAGCAGCTCCAAGCACAAAATAAAACATACAAATAAATATGTTTTGATTGATAAGTAAATTAGTTAGAAAATATATCAAAAAAATAATAATAATAACAAACAGAATTTTATATATAGAGCATACGTATCTTTATAACAAAGAATTCATAGGTTTTTATGCAATAGGTAAAGAGATGTTGTTGTAGCTATTATAGTAAAGAAGCAACAACCAATGATACAAATGTTGCGATTCTTATCTTTCCTTATCTCCTTCACTTTTTGAAATAAGAAATCCACAAATGACTACTTTTCTTGGCCACATGGTACTGAGTACTGACCGAGCTAAGCTGCTCCACCTGTAGATTGCAAAGCAGAACCAGTATTCGGTAGGGTAGCAAATTTTCAAATCAAAGGAAAGTCGCCAAGAAAGGGAAAAGATTGAAAGCTGATGTTATCCTCTCCACATGCGGGTGGAGCACGGATCGAATAAAGTTGGACCGTAACTAAGCATTGCCTAACAGTCACACTTCATACCATTCAACAAAAATTTACAGATTCCCACTTTTTATAGTGGAAGTTGAAATTAACGTGTCTGAGAGCGTTCATGTGAATCAACAAAAAATACTTGTGAGCTAGCCAGCCCCAACAATATCTTCATACAAAGCTCAATAACTCTTATAGGAGCAGAATTAAAAAAAAAAAAAAAAAAAAAAAAAAAAAAAAAAAAAAAACCCTAATAGTGGAATGGAAATCCTGATTAGCCATCAATCTGCATAATAATTACCTTCTCAATAGAAATAGCAAAACCAAACCTCCCAATCACGATTAATCACATGAACTTTAATTTATGACGATATTCAGTTATATATATACATACACACACGCATGAAACAAAACCTTGAACTTTGGATCACGAAGCTTATTCATTTTCTTTTTTTCTTTTTTTATCTAGCGCATACGTTGGTAATTATCTTTTAATAGACATAAGTTTTGTCATTTGAAACTTGCTTAACATTTTAGTCTGTGTTCATTTTCATTTGGATTTTGATGGTGCTAAATGTTAGGTTTATGGCTCACGTATTTTAGAGTAACCGAAGTAAATAAAATACATTAATGATGAGAAATTTTATAATATTGAACGAGTAATTAGTAGCATGTATAGTAGTTATTTAATGAAAAGTTTAATCGTAAGGATTTTTTTATTCACAATAGACACTTTATTCATCAAATTTTCTTGTCATTATAAATAGGAGAGAAAATATATAGTTTTAATGTGTAAAACACAAGGATTGAGAGTTTTTTTTTTTTTTAACCTAGGTATACAAAGAGCTTTGGGATTAAGTGTAAAAATTACAATTATATTCTTGTAATAATTTTTTTTGAATAAAAAATTACTCTCCAGCTTTTAGAGTAGGCAAGATTTTACTAAATCACATTTAATCTTGTGGGTTCGCTCTTTATTCACTTTTTTTTTTATTATTATTATTGAATTAGGTCGTTCTTGGTAGCGTGTTGAATCTCGGATCCTTAATTTCTCAACAAACTCGTATGAGAACTTATTTTTTAAGATTCAGCTTTTGATCACAAATAGTATTTGCACACGGTAAGTTTTAATTTATCGTGAAACAATTTAATATGAATGAAAGTTTTACTCTTTGACAATAAAGGATGAAAAGACATCCTTGTTCAATAGGACTTGGCTACAATGTTGAAGAGGAATGTTGCAAAGCCAAAAGAGATAGAGGAGCACGAGTGTGAGGAGTTGAAATCAAAGTGTGTGAGCATGATTCGACTCCGTATTGCCGATAACATATCAATAATGTTACGGATGAAGATTCAATGCCTACAATATTTAAAAGGTTGGAAAGTCTTTATCTAACGAGAATTTAACCAACAAGTTATATTTGAAGCCTAAAATTTACAAGCAAAAGATAGAAGAAGACAAGAATATCATAAAGCATTTGAATGTGTTCATTAGTATACTAGATAAACGACAAAAATTGATGTCATTATGAAAGAAGACAAAGCTCTTTTACCGATAAAGCTTTTTTACTTCTTACCTCTCATTTTGATTGGTTTAAAAATTTGATGATGACATTACTATATGGTAAGAATAGAATAAATTTAGATCATTACATGTTGTACTTTCATCTCTTGAGGTGCAAAGAAACTCAACACACACACACACACACACACACACACACACACACATATAACACTCTTTACTAATGACTAGATAAGAGTAACAGAAAGAAAGATCAGCAAAAAAATGATTTTAGAGTGACATGGTTGAGTTTGAATTTAGTAGAAAAGTCATTCAATGTTACCTATGCAAAGAATTTGATCATATCAAACGAGATTGTTCTAAAAAAAATGATTGAAAAATTTGATGATGATAGAAATTCTTTAATGGTTATAGAAGACTACTTAAATGTTGTCACAATGCCAATATTTGGTTGGATATTAGATTATACATGTTCATTATATGTGTATTTCAAGAAAAAAAATATATATTTTGATGAGTTTCAAGGATAAAGTACTAGCACTATGTCTTTTGATGATGCATCATCTTGTGATGTTATGGGTGTTAGAATAGTAAAAATCAAAATATTTGATGGAGTGATTTGTATTTTAGATGGGAGGCCTATGTTATAAAGATGTATAGGTATCTAATATCGTTGAGCTACTTAGACTCAAGAGGATATAATTATTTCGTTGTAGGTAAAGTTTTGAAAGTCATACAAATATAGTACAATTTTGATGAAAAAGAAAAAAGTGTGATGGTTTATATTGTCTTATTGGAAAGACAATGACCTTGAGAAGTGACTTAGAATAGAGTGTACATGATGGTAATTACTTAAAAGGAGTCTCTTTAATGATTGTAAAAAAAAAAAATACAAGAATTATGCATTTTTAAGTTTCAAATGAGTGTGAGGGGAAAGATCCTGTCGAGGGAGAGGATGAATCGAAGATCCTCTTTGAAGTTAATATGTAAAGTTGAGTCAAGATAGTTGCATATGGGCATTAGTTGTGTTTTTTTATATCAAATAGAGTTCATAATTGTGTGTTAATTCGGGTCATGTGTATCTAGTAAATTTTAAGGTTGAAACTTATTTATACTTTTATGTTTACAATATTTATGAATATGTAGAGCCAACAAATTTAAAAGCGACAAAAATATTCATCAAGATGGATATTGTTAGGTTTATGGTATGGCTCATATTCTTTAGAATAATAACCAAGTAACTAGATTGGAGTAATGACCAATGATTCCTTGTTCACCAAAGATTTTGACCATTATAAATAGGTGATGAGATGTGTACTTTTAGTTTACGGAATATAAAGATTGAGATATTTTCTTTGAATGTGAGCTTTAAGATTAGGTTTTAAATAAAAAAATTACGATCATATTCTTATACAAATTTTCTCTCAATAAAAAAGGAATTACATATATTTTTCACTCTTTACTCATCTTTATTCATCTATGTTATTTTTCCTTTCATTGAATTTGGTTGTTGGTGATGTATTAAATCTCGAGTCTTTAATTTCTCAGCGCTAAATTCACTATTAAAATTATTATTCTCAATGTTTCTTTTTTAAATTGACTATAGTAATCTTTACATATCATAATTAATAAGAGACTATTTTAAGGTCTCGTTTGTTTGTTAGAAAATGAATTCCTTTTGAAAAGTGAATTTTAAGAAAAATACCTTTAGAGAAAGTAGATTAATTTTCGATATTTGATAGTATTATGAAAAATAAGTTGGAAACTATTTTTTTATCTTTGGTTATATAGTAAAAAATAAACAGAAAAATAATACATTAATTTTTTAAAAAATAGTAAAATTTTTATTACCAACAAACATTTTTGGTCTTCTGTGAACATTGAAAAAAAGAAAAAAGAAAAAAAGATTCTATGGTATCCTATTTTATAATACAATTTATCTAATTTGAAATGTATGATTATTGTACAATGTAACATGTTGTGTATTATATTTCTAGTAACATTATCTAAATTAAAGCATTATATGCACTAATATATTAAATTCATATAATTTTATATATTATATATTGATATATCCTAATGTATTTATTTTTATATAAATATACCGGTAATGTATTATTTTCTAATAATATTATATATTTTAAAGTATTTTTTTAATATATAAATGTTTACATATGTATTAATAATGAAATGTTTTTATATGTAAGAATAATATATGTGTAATTTATTATTTTTCATGGAAAGTGTTTTCGCTCTTTTAAATCGAAAAACATTTTCCTCTCTTCAAAGCTTAATTTTTTTTTCTTTAACTTGAAAGTGAATTCCATTGACCAATTTTCTAAAATGCAACTAAATATGGGAAAGTCAGAAAAATACTTTTTAACAACCAAACGAGGTCTAAGATAAAAAAAAATTAATGGAAAAAAACAGATTAATCATTTAAAAAAATCAAGTAGTAAAAAATATTGTAAGTGAATTTAATGATTACCCTTTTCATTTTATCAGCAATCAAATTTCAAAAGTCAAAGTTCGGCCCAGTTGTGATTTACTTGAAATCTTGGTCCAAAGTTTGGCACGTCGGAAACGAGTTTGTACAAACTCGTTTACTGGGTTTGAAACCCAAGTTTCTAGCAAGCTTCTTTCGGTTTGATCTCCCGTCATACGAGGCCATCGGCCCAAGTGCTCTAAGTATCTTCGCATTTATTATTTCCATCGTAACGTGGACATGGTCTAGCATTCCTCATTACAATTTTTCAGGCTTTCAAACTATTATCGAAAATTTTAAAATATTCAAAAAATAATAAATAATATTTATTTTATAAGTTTATTTTGAAAAAAGAGAAAAACATAAAAAATAAAAAAAAATCATGTTCGGATCTACTAAAAAATGATAAGAATATTTTCATTTAAACTCAATTTTTTTAATATATTTTTCCTATAAAATAAATACTGGTAGTTTAAGACAAAATTTCTGCAATAAAAACTTGTTAAGCTTTTAAGCCTAAAATTTCCAGTCAAGTTTGTGAATTTAAAATTCCATTAAGCATTTCTGGACCTCCGGTAGATACCTAGTGTTTTAAAAACTTTTTTTTAGAAAAAAATAAAAAAAAGGAAGAGAGTTTTTTTTTTTTTTTTTTTTTTTTTTTCCCAGACCGAATTTCCTTTCCTGGCCTGGTGTAGGTATCGTACTCTTTTTGGTCAAAGAAAGTTTTCGTTGATTTCCAAATAATTCCATGCATTGTGTTTTCAAAAATCCAAAAATAATACTTTTATTTAAAAAAATCTCTTCAGAAATGGCTACATTTTTGCTTTTGAAAAATAAAGTATAAAAACAGATAGGGATAATTACAATAAAGTATATTAAATTTCAATCTTTTTTTCCGTCGAATATATAAACTTTAATTTTTTTTTTACTTGAGTATTATAAATTTTTCAAAACTATCAATCAAGTACTTCTATCAATTTTTCCATTAGCTAATAACGTGTCCGTTATCCTTAGAATACCAAATTATAGTTTTATCTTTTTTTTTTCAATAGAGTACATGAACTTGAATTCTTTCAAATTGAGTTTATTAATGTTTTCAAAACTACCAATAAAATATTTTCGTAAATTTCTCCATTAATTAATGACATGTCCGAATACTAAATTATATATATCTTTTGTTGTAAGGAACTTTCTCCTTAAATTATTATATTATTTTAAAATTTGACAAAGAATAAAAAAAATTATTTTTAGTTATAAAATCTCGAACTAAACTTAGTAAAGCTTGCTGTTAAAAAAAAAAAAAATTAGTTAGGTTTTTGGCATGAAAATTGAAGAAAACTCAAACATGAGATTCTTCATCAAGAAAATTCATTTGTATTTTGCTTTTCAATTTTCATGTTTAAATCTCGTAGTTTTTTTTTTAACAGCAAACTAATTGAATTTAGTTTGAAATTTTAAAGATAAAAAATAATTTTTTTAATTATTTATCAAAATATAAAATGGTAAAATAATTTGAGAAGTTTCTTTCAATAAAAAAGAGGGTAAAATTAAAATTTAATATTCGAATACGTTATCAATTAACGAAGTAATGAAAATATTTAATTGACAATTTTGAAAAAATTGATGTATTTAAACAAAATAAAAATTAAAATTAATGTACTCGATCGAGAAAAAAGATAAAATTACAATTTGGTATTTTGAGGGTACTAAACATGTCATCGAGTTAATAGAAAAATTGATAAGAATACTTGATTGATAATTTTAAAAAAATTAATTGACTCAAATGAAAAAATTAAAATTTATATACTCGATTGAGAAAAAATTAAAAATTAATATACTTATAATATAATTATCTCAAAACATATATGCTTCTGATTTTCTGTTGACTTTCACATGCTAACTTTATAGGTACAGAACCAAAAATATCACGAATGGACTCAGCGTGTAAAATACTATTACATCTTATTTACTATTCTTTCTGTCACATAAATAACGTTAAATTAGACTTTTTATGCAAATTAAAAAAAATATTAAATATTATATCAACTTTTATATTTTTATTGTATATACTACATTATCATTTAAAATTAAATGTGGTTAAGCAAAAATATATGTGAATTTTTTTTAAAAAAAGAGTAAAGTTATAAAATTTAGTATTTGGTTTTTTAAACATTTAATAAAAAAGACATTAAATTTTGGAACATTCAAATAAAAAAATAAAAAGCGTTTTGGGACATTTAACTAAAAAAAATAAAAAATTAAAGATTCTCTTTGCAAGACAGATGAAATAATATCTATCACAAATTTCGCAGCTTATTCAGCCCAACCATCTGAATATGAATTGGTTACGTAGGTACTCCATTTTGTCCAAGTTAATTCAAGATCAATTTTTAAAATAAAATAATTTGCCTTTTTTTATTTATTTTTTATTTTTGGGTACAGAAAGGGACTTAACGCCCAAAAAAGAAACTAAACACAAAACCTCCTATCGATAAGATCAGCCCATCCATACTGCACTCTGAAACCGAACTGGGAAATGGGTTAATCCCATTCTCTAGATTCGCTCCCACGTTAGCCAAGATGTCAGCATCGCAGTTTCCTTCGCCGTATATGTTATCAATCTGGATACTCCATTGCTTCCCCATCACCTCCTTGATCTGGTCAATTAGAGGAGCATTCAAACCGTCCCTGGACCCCCCGTCCTTGAGAGCTTTCACAGCCGTCTGAGAGTCCACTTCAAACATAACTCTTCTATGCCCTTTCTCCCAAGCAATCACCATTCCCATTAGGAATGGCAATCCAACACACTTCGACGCCGCCCCGCCCTACCTTGCCGCATTTGGGTTAGGGATGAGATGCGAAATTTTACCTCGAACAGGACACGGGACAGGGATGAGTTATTTATTTATTTTATTTTTTTTGGGGTGGGGCAGAGATGGGGATCCCCATCTCCATTCTGCCCCGTCTTTTTATTTTTTAAAAAGTAATTTGGCCCTACCCCGTCTCGTTTGAGGCAAGGATAAAGAGCAAAATTTCACTTTGAACGGAGTACGAGGCAAGGTTGAGTTTTTCTTTTTTAGGGAGGGAGCGGAGATGAGGATGGCGATCCCCGCCCCGCCCCCATTGCCATCCATAATTCCCATCTTGACAGCCCATAACTCAGCGCTAACAGCAAAGCACACCCCCACCTTTTGCTGCATAGGCATGAAGGAACCGACCTTGCCAGTCTCTAAAGATTGCTTTCGCTCCTGCTTCCCCTGGATTCCCCCTACTCGCTCCGTCAGTATTGACTTTCACCTCCTCATGAGGAGGGCAGGACCAACTTATTAATTTTTTTAGATACACGTTGGGGGATTCCCAACCCAGCCCTTTCCTGAGATAGCGTCTAACTCCCTGGCACTACTTAACATGATTTTGATGAGATCTCCCGTTTGAGACCTCTCCCTGGGATCAAATAACCCATGATTCCTATTCTTCCGAAGGTTCCAAGTGATGACAGCAAAGAAAGAACTCTAGGGCACACCTTGCCTGCACTTAAACTTAGCTAATAAATTAGCTTTGAACCAATCCCCATGGCTTAGAGTAAAAGAGGCACTCCCCCTCATTCTCTAGAAAAAAAACTCCCAGACACTGCGAGCTTGGCTACAATCTCTAAGGATATGGATTGCTGTCTCCACAAACCCAGGACACTGCTTGCAAAAAGGATTATTATTCATGTGTCTATAGGACCTCTGCTCATTAGACGGATCCTATACCATGAAGGGCCAATAAATAAATAAAAAACACAGATTCCATGAGGAATTCTGAGTTTCCGAATGTTCAACCAAAGCTGATCCCTCACGTTCAATTTTTATTATCATCGTTGCTGTTGCTGTTGTCCGTGGGCATTGTTGTTGTTGTTGTTGTCCATGAGCCAGCTTTAGGTATTAACGTTGTGGATTTCAACTTTATAGACCCTCTAGCTTCTGTTGTCGAATTTAGCTTGAACATTGTCAGGACTTGTGCTCAAATAAGGAAAAAATCCTTCACCTCTCTAGCGTTCTCTCAGCTTGTGTGGCGATGACTCTCTTTGCAAAATACAATTGCCTTTTAATAGTTCTAATCATTCCCATACAAAAAATAAGTTGGAATTAACACAGTAAAATAGGGATAAAGTATCCATTGCCTTTATATATTAGGAGCATTTTCTCAAATGTATTTTTTTTTCGCTCCCATATTTCATCACCTATTAATATTTGAATTAACCGTTATATTTCATTAATGTGTTTTTGATATATATATATATATATATATATATTTTAATATGGTCCTTCTACTCTCTTTTTATTTGATTGCTCTACTCTAGAAGTTTTTTTAATGTGACCCTTCCTTCTCATATAATTCTGATCACTTTTCTAGTAACAAGTAACATGTGAACCGTCATGTCTGATAATAACAACATGTGTCTACTAAAATTAATTTTGAAAAAAAATAATTAAATGAAACTGAAAATATCTTCTTTTTTTTTTTTTTTTGTACGTCTCACTGTTATCTAAAGTGACAATTCACTTATCGCTTGTTATCAAAAAATTGACTGGAATCCTATTGTATGAATCGCATTAAGAAAATATTAAGAATGCATAAATAAAATATACAATGAAGCCATTAACATTTTATTCTCTATGTCTTTTTTTTTTCATCTTTTGGACAAAAGTACCATCATATAAAAAAAACATAATTTCAAAACCTAAAAAATAATAAAGAATAATCTCAAAAACCTAGATATTTAAAATTATTGAAACATTAAAAAAAATGAAATAGCCATAAAAAGTATTAAAAAAAATTGAAAACTAATGAAAATCTTGAAAAACCCCACGTCGTGGAAAAAATTATTTCATTGACATAAAGAAATTTATATTTACAATGCTTTATGTATATAATTTTTTTTTTAGATTTTTCAAATTTATTTTTATTTTTTCTAGTTTTATTAAATGATTTTGGTAATTCTCTCATCACCGTTATCTAAAGTAACAATTCACCTCTCACTTGTTACCAAAAAATTGACTCGGAATCCTGTTGTATGAACCACATTCAGAAAATATTAAGAATGCATAGATAAAATATGCAATTAAGCCATTAATGTTATGAAATAATGAATGTCTATCATCATGTTCATCTACTTGTCATCTCCCCACTACTCTTTATTCTTAATGTAATTCAATTCATCATTCAATATGAGAAATTGAAAGAGTGATGCAATTGATTATTCATAGTCCTTTTCAATTCTCTTCTTAAATTTGAAGCCTATAAATGGATCTCGATTGTTCATTAGTTGGTGTACAAGCATTTTGTAGAGATTATAAGAATTGTTTAGAGTTGTTATCTCTTATATTATCTTTATAGTGAAATTATTTTTTCATCATTTTTCTTTTCAATTCTCCTATTATTTTTATTTTTTTATAACACATTATCAGCACGAAGCTCTAACGAATTGAGACAATAGACCATGAGATATGTATCTATCAAAAGATTTTAATCAATTGTTTCAACCATTGTATTTCTTCTACACAAGTGCTCTACCAAAAGACTTAAATTATTTAGATCATTAAGAGGTATGTATCTTATTTATTCATGTACTTTAAATCTATTGATACATGAAATATACATTTGAAAAATTTAAATAATCTACCAATGATTTAATTTATGTTATTTGAAAAGCTTTAATTTTATTATTATATTTGTTCTTATTTTCTAATATTATTATTATCTATTGTATTATAGAATTTTTATCATATCAAACCTCATAAACTTGATTTTGTGGCTCTTGATATTTCAAATAAGAATTATTGATTATGAGTGCTTGATTTTTAAAAAATATTCTCTACTTTTTATGTCTTGAATATGCTCTCGCAGAAGCATATCGAGAAAAAGAGTTTAAGAAATATTTTGAATCAATTTTATACTTGTTAGTGGCTAGATAAAATAAAAAGTTATTAATGAAAAAGAATAAATCTCGTCCAATTAGATCTACTCCATTCCCCGAAGTGAATGTGATAATTTATAATAATTTTAGACATGGACGAAAATGTGATCATAGCCATGGACATGGTAGAAATAATTAGCATTATAGTCGTGATGACCATAATATTACATCTCACCATCGAAGTGCATAACTATGAAAAAAAATGAAAATAGATAAAGTCAACATTCTGAAAATGAATGTTATAGATATGGTATAAATGGATATTGATCGTGTACCTGTAGTACACTAAAACACCTCATTAAGCCTTGTCAAACCTCGTTGAAAAAGGAAAAAAAATATAAAGGTTAATTTTATATATCAAAATGGAGGTAATTGAAATTAATAACTTGTTAGCTTTTCATTTATAAATAAGATGTTTTATATTTTCTTATAATTGCATAGAGATTTTGATAAATTTATTTTACTATATATTTATTTATTTATATTTATGAAAAATTTATTTATTTTGTATTTATTTATTTATTTGATTATTTTATGTTAATATTGTATATGATAATATCAATGTAATAGAAAGCTTTAGAAGAGCGATTATATTGTTATATAAAGAGATAAATTTTGAAGGCTTTAGAAGAGTGATTATATTATGACTCGAAGAGATAAATTTTTGAAGCTCTAGAAGAGTGGATATATTATTACTTGAAGAGATAACTTTTAAAGGCTTTAGAAAAGTCTATATATTATTACTTGAAGTGATATAATTTAAAGGCTTCAAAAGAGTAACTATATTATTATCCGAAAGGATAAATTTATTATAAATGATGTACTATTCTCTTCAAAATCTCATAGAAATTTATTGAGTTTCAAAGATATTCATCTAAATTGATATCATATAAAGATAGCAAATGTGAATACTTATATATTATAATTATTATACCGGATAGAAAATATGTATTGAAAAATTTACCCGCTTTCTCTTCTAGTCTTTATTACAAATATTGAAATGATTGAAACAAATACTATAGTAAACAAGAAGTTTACTAATTTAAATACTTTTATTATGTGGCATGACTAGTTGTATTATCTTGGGTCTTTCATTATACAAAAAATTATTAAAAATTCATTTGGACATCTATTGAAGAGCCGAAGATTCTTCAATTTAATGAAGTTTCATGTTCCGCATGTTGTCTAGATAAATTGATATTTAAGGCATCACTAAGTAAAATTGAGATTAAATCTTCAGTATTTTTTAGAATGCATTCAAGGTGATATATGTGGATCAATTCATTCACCATATGGACCATTTAAATATTTTACGATTTTAATAAATGCATCCACAAGATGGTCACATATATGCTTATTATCTACTCGAAACCCGACGTTTTCGAGATTATTAGCAAATAATTTAATTTTGAGCATACTTTTCAGATTATGTCATTAAAAGAAGTTATATTGATAATGCTTGGTGAATTTATTTCTCAAGCATTAAATTATTATTGATTGACTATTGGAATAAAGGTTGAATAGCTTGTCGCTCATGTTCATACTCGAAAGGTTTAGCAAAAATCATTTATCAAAAGGCTCTAATTGATAGCTAAACCATTATTTAAAAATAAAACGTCTTGTTTATGTCCGGGGATATGCAATCTTACATGCAAGCAACACTTATTCACATCGGACCCATAAGTTATCGAAATTCTCTTCTCTTCAATTGATTTATAGTCATAAGCCAAATATTTTTTATTTAAGAATTTTTAGCATTGTAGTGTATATCCCTAGTGCTCCTTCATAATGAAATAAAATGGGCACTTAAAGGAGATT